AAATGACTATCAGACAAAAAAACCATCGGTGGCAGAAAAATTAAAACAGAATAATGGCGGTATGCAAAGATACGGGAAATCAGTGCATTATAAGAGACATATGTCAAAAGCACATTTTACTTGTAATGAATACCAGATACAGAAATCTGTGTTTTGACCAAAACGTCAATAACATGACGACTTGATCGTTATTGACTCGTATCAAAAGAATTGAAGGCAGAATATAATATCGAAGATTAGCAATCTTGAAAATCAATATTGGATTTCTGAAATAAGAAATATGATAAGTCAAACAAAGACAAAAGAGTTAACGTAGTTTTTTACATATTAAATCCTATATGTTTTATATCTCAAAAACTAAATGAGATCATAGAGTTATAGAATAAAGTTGTACAGTATAAAAAAAAATATTCAAAACATTCCAAAAATCGTTCAAATTGCTGAAAGAGTTGTTCATTGACAAGTTTATCTAAAATATTTTTATTTATAACTTTAATAAATGGCGATTGTTAAATAAAAACTTTGACTATACTAGTCAGAGTAATAACATATTTCAAGAGATCAGAATCAGCAATCGGAGAGTAGTACTTTTGTACTTTAGTACCATTTATCGACTTTGAAAACATCTTTGCTACAGACGAAATTGTACAAATGTAAATTCTATAAATTTTACCAAGTTGGAACGAGCAAGTCTACTGCAACTAGCAAACCAACTATTCTTAACCAACCAAAATACCATTCTTATGAATTGGAGACTGTACTTTTTGACAATTATGACATTTTTGCATATGCCTAATAGGATAACAATTTATTGTTGTAACATGCCAGTAGAAATTCATGATTATACGTTTATGATAGAACACAGAACTGCGATGCAACATATAAACGTATAAACATGTGAACAAGTTCTATATATGTAGTACTGTATGTAGTGTATGTAGTCTATATGTAGTGTAGAAATTTACCAAATAAATGGAAGCTGATTAATTCTTAATGATACAATTGCAGGACGAATAGATCAGCAAGATTCGGAAAATTGATGAAGAAATTGGTGCGAAACAGCGGGAATATACGAAGTATTTCGCGAATTATGCATTAAAGAAGGGTAAAGAATAGTAGAGAGTGAATAAACGAAATGTAAAGCGCAGCACGACCATCAAATTTATTGATTATGTCTCACTGTTGATTTGAAAAAAACATTGCCCTATTCTACACATTACATAGGATTCTTTGAAACCAGTAACAGGCAGAACAAATACCACGTAACAAAGTTTACGATTATTAAACCTGTGAGAAACTCTAAGGCGAAGAGAGCTATAAAAAAGATTTAAGTTTGAATATTAATTTTAAATATATCTGAAAACGATAAAAATTTGATGAAATCTTTATGGAATTTTCATCATAATTCAAAATTCAATAAAAAAAATTAAAAAATCGCACAGTAAGTTTTGGAAGATTATTCTAAAAAGAGCTTCTAATCTCCATTTATTGTAGATTCAATATGATAAATTAATTGTAGATAATATAATAAATTTATTGTAGATTCAATTATGAAAAAAATTTGTTAATGTTTTGAGAAATGTTTGAATTTTGAGGAGAAACACTATCTGTACTTTCTCATTTACTATATAATATATAGTAATATAGTATGTGGTATAGTAATTATTAATATAGTATAGTAATATGTAGTATAAACACAGTTTTATAAAAAATGAATTCAGAATTGCAAAAGCACGCTTCACGCTTTAAAGTGTGCCCAGATTCATTGCTATATAATTTGTTACAAAATTATAACAGTTTAAATATTCTTAATTCTCCGAAATGTTGGAAATTTAATACACATAAGTTTGTGACTATTGTGACTGTTGGAAATTTAATACACGTAAGTTTGTGACTATTCGAATTACTATGTTAAATTATCAATCGAATGACACCTTTTATTTGATCTATTCAAGATATTTTGTTTAACGTATGAAATCAAATATGTATGTACTTGATGTGATTGCTGAGAATCAACGGTCAGTGCAAAAGGTACAATCGAACAATTGTTGGCTACTACAACAGAAAAATTCCCAAGAATGAAATGATTATGATAAGGTCAATCATAACTGTTGCCGTTCTTGCACTTTTGCGTATTTGCCTTGGATGTGAAGGACCACCCATTGATGTGGGAATGAAAATGAAAATTCTTGATTTGACTTTATTAATTATTGAGCCTGATGGCTCCAATGAAATTCTTGCTTGAGCAAAAATGTTGAGTAAAGTGACTAAATGTTGACTAATAATCTTAAGTAACTAACTGACTGACTAACCCTTTATGTCTAACTGTGAATAATTGTTCGTGGCTGACTGTAATGAATAACTATTTGTGACTAACTAACTATCCTCCGAGTCTTTCCCTTGTAACCTTCCTTGGATTACGTTCTTCCAAGGGTCTTGGAAGAATTAGAAAGCGGGGGATGTGTTAGAACCAATCAGGAGTATGATAAAAATTACTAAATTTTTCCACAGCCGCGAGTGACTTTGGTGGGGTGGCATAATTAATAACATTCGTTCCCAGAAATTATCTCGTTTTTTACACACTTCTTCGAGTACGTATTTATGACATGGCGGTCCTTGTGATGTGGAAAATCTCTTCGCACTTCAGATTGATCTAG